CTGCTAGAAGCACTAGCAGCTCCCAAGTAGCTACTTTCAGTACACTGCAGAGTTCCTAGAGCATTAAGAACATAGAATGTAATTCTCACTACTGATGATGTGACAGATAATGTCACATTCCTTCCCTTCTGTCTTCCTATACAATACTCTGGGATGAGCACAAGTTCTAGAGCTAAACTGCAGCAACAGGCAAAGGACTGCAGAAAAAAACCTTCAGTGGTGAAGGCCACTGAACAGCATCACAAGTTGCCTAAGACAACCCTGAAAAGCTTCCATTGCAAGTTTTTTGGCAGAAGAGTTTTGGCCAAGCCCACCTTGCCGTAGAACTGGCAGGCTCTTGGTGGATCCTGAGGCAAGGAGAAAGACAAACCCTCCCAAACTAATTTCAGTGCTACTTTGAGGTAAGCCTTTTAAGTTCAACAACCTTACTCATCTTAGAGGGCTGATTACTGCAGTGCAGACATCTGTCATGTCACAGTGAAAGCCATCAGCCTAACAGTGATACATATCACCCTGCTTTCAGGGCAGGTCTCCAACAGCAGTAGTCAGCAGCTAAGACTCCAGCTGGCTGCTGGTTACTAGTGGCACTCAATATTGGGATGAACACTCAGGAGTCAATACCGGGGTTTCTTATGCTTTCTATGTTTGCTACTGACCTTGATGACAGGATAGAGCATATAGGCACCGAACTGGGAGGAGTGGTTTCATACACGGAAGGGCAGAGCTGCTATTCAGAGGGACCTAGACAGGTTGGAGAAAGAGGCTGAAAGGAACCTCAAGAAGTTCAATGGCAAATGCACAGCCTGGCCACTGTGATGGAGTAACCTCCTGAAGCAGAACAGGCTGCAAATGGAGACAATAGGCAGGAATGCAACTTTGCAGGAAAGGACCTGGAAGTATGGGTGAACAAGCAACCCAGGGCTCCTCAGTGCACCTGTGCAGCAAGGGCCAACCACTAGCAGGAGCATAGGCAGTAGGGTGAGGACAAGGATCCTCATCTCTGCTCAGCACTCACAGGACCATCTGGAGAGCTGAGTACAGTTTGGGATCAACAGCACAAGGACAGTGACACACCAGAGCAACCTCAGTGGAGGCTATCAAGATGGACTGCAGCATACAATGTATAAACAGAAGCTGAGAGTGCCAGGTTTGCTCAGCCTGGAGAGAAGGCAAAGGGAAATCTTCCTATTATCTGCTATCACTCATGGGGACCCACAAAGACACACAGGAAGAGCTGAAAGGCAACAGGAACAACATGAGAAATCCAGATGAGATGCAAGGAAAAACCTTCACCGTCATCTTGGTCAGACAACTGTAATGGTAAATGCCACCATTTCTCTGGTCTCATCTGCAAAGACAGTCAACCTGCTCCAACTCTGAACTTAGCCCTTCTTTAAGCAGGGAGTGGACAAAGCAGCCTCCAGACATCCTTTCCAGCAGAACTGCCCCAGAAGCATCGCTTCCCACAAGACCTCTCACTTTGTGGGAAAGTGCATTGAGAACATGTGCCTTTCAGTTTTCTGATTTGTGAAACTGGGCTGACAGGATTTCCTTATTCCAGCCTTTGTTGTCTAGCAGGTGTACCAAATAACCCAAACAACAGTGTGGAATAGATGACTCAGCTCTTCAGAACATGAGGCTCTATCTGCAGAGCCTTCTCCCAGCACATGCAAACAGGAGAGGGAGGCACTTCTTGTGCCATGCTTAGTGTTTTGTTTCAGAACTCGCTTGTGATGCAGTTTAGAGGCTGCATGCTTTCTTCAGATCTGAAATCCTCAGAGCTGCCCCAAAGTTTCTAGCAAACAAACTTAATGCTTTCATTTTACACCAGAAACATAACAGTTATCAGGAAAATTCCCCTCCCACACCCCAGAGTCCATACTTTGGGTGATGTGATGATCTCACAGTTACTCAGGTTCAATGTTGCTTTTAAAAACTGTCATGTAAAGCCACTGGGGTCAACTTTTAAGCTAAGGCTCACTTGGAAAAGGTATGTATGATTACATACAGAAAAAATGGCAGTTGAGAGAAAGGAACCAAAAGCAATCTTCCATCTCCTCTCACGCACTCCTCTCTTAAGCACACACTGCTATACTGTAAGAGACACGACCTACCAAGTACAACTGCTCCCATCCTGCCACACCCTGCCGTACGTTTCTCCTGTTGCCTTTACCAGCTTCTTTGCAATCCTTAAATGGTCTTCTCATGATGAGAGCGACCCAGGGAATTACAGACCAGTCAGTCTCACCTCTGTGCCTGGCAAAATCTTGGAGCAGATTCTCCTGGAAGGCATGCTAAGGCACATGAAAAACAACAAGGTGCTTGGTGACAGCCAGCATGGCTTCACTAAGGGGAAATCCTGCCTGACCAATTTGGCGGCCTTCTGTGATGGGGCTACGGAACTGATGGACAGAGGTAGAGCAGTTGATGTCATCTACCTGGACTTGTGTAAAGTGTTCGACACTGTCCCACACGACATCCTTGTCTCTAAATTGGAGAGACATCAATTTGATGGATGGACCACTCGGTGGATAAAGAACTGCCTGGATGGCCACATACAAAGAGTTGTGGTCAATGGCTCAATGTCCGGTTGGAGACCAGTAACGAGTGGTGCCCCTCAGGGATCGGTGTTGGGACCGGTCTTGTTCAACATCTTCGTCGCTGACATGGACAGTGGGACTGAGTGCGCCCTCAGCAAGTTTGCCGATGACACCAAGCTGTGTGGTTCAGTTGATACACTGGAGGGAAGGAATGCCATCCAGAGGGACCTCGACACACTTGTGAGGTGGGCCAATGCCAACCTTATGAAGTTTAACCATGCCAAGTGCAAGGTCCTACACCTGGGTCGGAGCAATCCCAGGCACAGCTACAGGTTGGGCAGAGAAGAGATTCAGAGCAGCCCTGTGGAGAAGGACTTGGGGGTGTTGGTTGATGAGAAAATGAACTTGAGCCGGCAGTGTGCACTTGCAGCCCAGAAAGCCAACTGTATCCTGGGCTGCATCAAAAGGAACGTGACCAGCAGGTTGAAGGAGGTGATCCTGCCCCTCTACTCTGCTCTCATGAGACCTCAACTGGAGTATTGTGTGCAGTTCTGGTGTCCTCAACATAAAAAGGACATGGAACTGTTGGAACAAGTCCAGAGGAGGGCCATGAGGATGATCAGGGGAGTGGAGCACCTCCTGTATGAAGACAGGCTGAGAAAGTTGGGGTTGTTCAGCCTGGAGAAGAGAAGGCTGCATGGAGACCTCATAGCAGCCTTCCAGTATCTGAAGGGGGCCTATAGGGATGCTGGGGAGGGGCTCTTCATTAGGGACTTTAGTGATAGGACAAGGGGTAATGGGTTAAAACTTAAACAGGGGAAGTTTAGATTGGATATAAGGAGGAAATTCTTTCCTGTTAGGGTGGTGAGGCACTGGAATGGGTTGCCCAGGGAGGTTGTGAATGCTCCATCCCTGGCCATGTTCAAGACCAGGTTGGACAAGGCCTTGGGTGATATGGTTTAGTGTGAGGTGTCCCTGCCCATGGCAGGGGGGTTAGAACTTGAGGATCTTAAGGTCCTTTCCAACCCTAACTATTCTATGATTCTATGATTCTAATATCTGCATGGGCACCCCCTCTTGCTATGCCCAGCTCCACAGCACATCCCCTTGCTACAAGTCTGGTCCAAACCAGGGGTCAAAACCAGACATTATAAAAAAGATAAATGGGAAGAAACATCAGGGACCTGCACCTTCTTAGGGCTTAGTCCTGGGGGCACAGCAGCTAAGGAAACTGTGCAAGAAAAAGGGAAAGATCTCCTATCCAAATACTTCCCAAATGGGAACTTCCCCTTTCATATCCCCCAGAGGAAACCATTTTGATTCCACTATCTTGTGGCACAGTAAGCCAAGTCATCCTTCAGCAGGTATCTCCATACATGTAGTTAAAAAACAGGTAATATATTGACTAAAATATTTTAATGGAATTCTCATGTTATAAAAGCACAGCAGGTGAAATTTCTCTTTTCACACACAGTGATATGCATCCGCCCATGTGGAGAACTGTGGCTGCATATTTTTCTGATTAAGTAAATATGAGACATCTAGTTTACACTGCAAATCCAATGAGCCTCAATGCTGACAGTGCACTGGTATATGTATTCAAGAGTTACTGTCCCACCTCAGGGATGGTCAAGCTGCCTGCTGGGAGGGCTAAACCATTAGCTGCTCTGACAGACACCAAAGTTGCCTCTTATCATAGGTCCAACAACTCCTAAAGCATCTGATCACTACTGCAAGACAGAGGTGAGTGAAGGATGAGGCTGATAAGAAAACACTACTCACAACCTGATTTTATTGTGCATTTTGGTAACCAGAGAGAGATTCCTATGACAGTGTGCACATTCATGGTTTGTGATGCAAAACAGTTCAAATGACAGGCTAAGAAGGACCTTTCCCTTTTTCCCGTTTTCTCAGTTTCTGAAAGTTTCCCTGGCAGAAGAGGAACAATGTCAGCTTACAGAATTGCTCATCTTCAGAGGAGCCCACCCTGTTCCAGTTAAATGAATGGAAGAGGATCCCACTAACTGCAAAAGAAGCTGGACAAGGCCCCTGCTCAGAATGGAAACTACTCAAGAGGGGAAAATGAGAAAGCAGATTCTCCATGCTCACAAAAGACAACACAAATACACCTTTTTAAATCAACTCTTTCTATCCTCACATTTATTAAAATAAAAAATAAAAAATACCAAAAAAAACAAACACACAAAAAAACCCCAAACCAGTCTTTGCAAACAAATCTCGTTTCTCCTTCCCAATTCAGTGGGATTGCTGCAAGCACTCCATGACACCTGACTGTAGGGTGCAGAGAAAGTGTATTGCAACTCAGTCATATTTCCATAGGAAAACCTGACTCATAACTTACAACATCCTTGAAATGCTAACAGAGGTTGGTAAGAAGCATCCAAGTGTCAAGTCCAAGGAACAGCATTGTAGCCATCTGAGGCCTGACATGGCTCCTAGCTCTAGCAGAGTAGAAGGCCCTCCTTTGCTGCCAGGCGCTCGCGATGGATTTTATCCTGCTGCAGCTCCTCATGGTTTGGATGCCAGAGCTTCATGACAATTCTCTCAATGTTTAGAGCATAGACAGTGTGCGCAGGAATAACTTCTTTGTGCACCTGAACATACACATCAGAAAGCAAATTCCATGTTTTCATACACATTTTCCCACATTGCCCATGGAATAACCTCCCCCTGCACATGAGCCCAGCAGGCTGTCTGTCACACATGAGAACTGCAACTTGGCAGCACTGCCACCCCAGTCAGCACAGAGCAACCACCTGTTATGCCACCTTGTAAGCGAGTGGCAAGGTAAGAAAATAATCATTTTTGCTTAGACACCTCCCCAGCACTGGTGTCTGATCACAGGTAACCTACTGCAGCAGTCTGCACACCAGAACCAAATATTCCTTTAAGTACCGAGGTGGAACAAGAGGAGTAAGAAGGGACATGAAGTCACTTCACTGCATCATGTGTAACATGAACAGCTTACCTGCAGTGCCTCAAAAAGGTCATACATGTTCACTGGTGGGAGAGATGCCGGTAAGGTGTCTCCAGAGCACGCCAGGAGTAATGCTGCCTGCTGCTCGGCATCATCGGGAGGGGGCTGTGGGGCTAGACTCTGACCAGCAGAAGGCGCCACACAGGTTGGAGGGCTGTAGAGGGAGCAAGCAGTAAAACCCTCAGTCAAGACAACAGCACTAGCTTTGGAAGTCACACAGCAGCAGCTTGGCCCCAGGGTTTGCTTTGCCCTATCAGTTGACTTAGCCCTAACATACGTAAAATCATTTCAGGTGTAATTAAGAATATCTTGAAAACTCCAGTTTAATAAAAATAGCACAAACTGATCCTCAACATGCTTCAAACCTGCTTAACTGATCTCAATTGGACAACTTTTTATTTGCAGCCAATTGCTTCTACTCAGCACAAGACTTAAGGCACTCACAACATAAAACTGAAAGACACAAGCCATTAGGCAGAGCTGTTTGGATTGCCCTGTAGTGCTTGTAGTGCTGTAATCAAACCTTAGAACACCCACGACCTCCTGTCAACTCCTAGAAGCTGTCACAGACAAACACAACTGCCTTCTCACACACACAGGTTGCCAGATGCACAGCACAAGTTGTTTGACATTGAGACTTTGGAAAACAAGATGACCTTGAAGCTCTGCTGACTGGAAAGGCATGCCAAGGAGCCATAAATACATTTGGATGCAAGAAACAGCAGGATGCCCTCACCAGCATTTCACTCCTATGGCATTGCAGCGATGCCCCATAAAGGGATGGCTCTTCTGCCCTGAGAACAGCAGAATTCCTGTCTCACTCACTACAGTTTCCAAAAAGCAATACTTATTAAGGACATGCAGAGGGCCAGGGGTCACCTTCTTAAATTGATGGACAAGCACAAGTGAGAAAGAGGGACTTAAAACTGTTCTAAACTCCACTGCTGAGAAATCCCCACGTTCTCCCTCTCTGTTTAGCCCTACAGTCCTCCATACTGATACCCTCCTAGTGTGAGGGCTAAACACCATTATTAATAGATTCTACTAAGTAAAAAGGGAAACTGAACCATGGAGTAACCTCACAACTAGCAACTTGCACTTAAAATTAGCTCAGAGCTCCTTACCACTCAATTAAATTGTTATAAGCAACAACACTGTTCTTCAGATACGGCTGAGGGTTAACATTGCTTCCAAAGGCATATTTAAAATGGCCATCTCTCAGACGATATGCTTTCCGCCGGGATATCACAGATGTCAGAATATCCTTAAGATGGTTCTGCAATGAAAAACAATCTTATTACCCATGCTGATCCATTTACTGTACCAAGCCATGGCTATGAAAAGTGCCTCATCAATTGGCAAGACAGAAGTAATGCTGCTATGACCACAAGGAGCTAAAGATCTGGAACCAGGATCTGGACAAGTTACAGTATGTTTTCACTGTTGGATACAGAGAACATAGCACTGTGCGAGTACTGTAGGCATCAGCCTGTAAACTGTACTTTAATACATGATGTGCTGCTTTAAATGTCAAAGAGATTTCTTAAATGCTAGGAAATTCCCAACCTCTGACCCCTTTGATAAAGAGTTAAGAGATTTCATCATTGGCAGTAGACGTTACATTTGTACTGAAATACTGTCCCTAAAACTACAGTGAAAAGCCACTCACTCCTCATTTTCAGACTGTTCAGTTGCCTGAAAAGCATTGGAGTAGCGTTGTCTGAGAAGACAACCAGACAACTGTTTCTTAATCTGGCCTCAGTCCCAGATGGGGAATTCAGGTTGGCCTCCACATCCTGACTCCAGAAAACCATCCACACATCAATGCTCCAAGTAACAGCTGTATCAGTCCTGGGGTACATCAGGCAATGCACCACTGACAGCCAAAACCAGCAAGAGCAGGCACTTCACCTGCAAGTATTCCCCAATCTGTCACTTCACTACCATGCCAGATACTTACACCTGTAACAGAGGTTTTGGGACTTTTCTTTTTATAGAAGTGTTTAAACTGGAGCTCCCATTCTGCCCCTGTTTTTAACTGACACAAACAGCATTTTCCAAAACAGCTATTTAAGCATGCCCAGAGTTCCTCATATGAAAGCACTTCAAAATTAACACTTGCAGGCAGAAATCAAAGACTTTACATCTAAGATGCCACGAGTTTGGAAGACCTTTGAGTTTCACATTACTCTTCCCAAGGCAAACTGGCAGTTAGAGAAGCAGGTTTCCTCACGACACTGAAGGGCACTACTCCCTGCTGCGCACAGAGCATTTTGCTGCTGGCATAATGAGACCACCACTGCTGCCCAGCCCAGCCTCTCACCTCCACAGCATAAACAACTGCCGTCACTGCCTCCTCTGTAACATTGTCTAGCCCATGCTCATATGCTGTTACGATCATCCTTCCTTCTAACTGGCCACGTGTAGGAAGCATCATGGTATGAGAACACAGCTTCAAATCATCATCTTCTTGAGGATCCTTTGCCACAAATTGCTGGGCTCCAGAGAGTGGATTCTGAGGCTGGAACCGGTGCTGTTATGAACACAACATTAGACCGTAAGAAGAAAAATACCCAGCAGGCCCTTTGGTTCATCACGCTAAACATCCTTTCTCCAGCTGGAAATCAAATGCCTGCAAAAGTGTATCACAGTAGGACAAGCAGAGTGATATTCTTCCCCAGGACACTCTCCCAGTCCCCAGTGATTTGTGATGTGACAGAAAATGTGAGCCAGAGTTGGTGTGCTTTTATTAAGCAACCCATGAACTTGTTCGGCAATGCCCTGAACCACCCAAACTTTGAGTATCCACATCCTACAGCAAGGAATTCTACGGTGTAACAACACACCACATAAAGTGTCACCTTCTCAGGTTTGCTCTGTACTTCCCTCACCTGCTAGATTCTTTCTATTCTCCTCTAAGGCTCAAATGCTATCCAGGCCAGTGTTGATTTTATGGACTTCCATATTTTACAGTCACCTCTTTCCATGCTGAGGGGTTCTTGTCTATTTAGCTATTAATTGTACAGAAGGGTATGGTTTTCCTTACTAACTGTACAGTTTCCATCAAGATTAAAAACCATCATCTTAAGCTTGTGTGATTGATTCTCATTTATTTAAAGCTTTAAATGGAACAACTTAGCCAAATTCCAGGTTTGAATTTCATACTCTAGTCTCCCCATGCCCTTACAATACTCCAAGCAGAGCTGTGTTACTGAGCAGCCACTGATTCAGAGATGGATTATGAATACTTTTCAGAACTGCCTCAGTTATTTAGGAAAAAAAAGACATCACAGAACAGGAATTTGTACCACAAGACAGCAACCCCCATTTTCCAGGCCACACATATTCCAGCATAATGCCCTTGCAGAGCTGGTGCCTCAAGCTGCAAGTGGTTGTGGTGACTCCTGGGAAGTTTTGGGCCCCAGGTAAAGCAGGGGAAAAAAAGCACATGAGAACAACTGATACTTGAGCCCAGACATGTGCTTGACCCAGCCCACAAGGGAACAAGCTGATGGAGTACTCCCACAAGCATCCAAGCCACAAATCCAGTGGCTTTGGAATGACGATGGCTGCAAGGTTCTCAGGGCATCAAGACAAACACAATCTTTAAATATAAACAACGAATATGCAGCAAAGTGGATCTCTCGCATCTTGGTTTCAGGAGAAGGGCGGCTGCTTTATTCAAAGTACAGTGTGGCATTTAACTCAAGAGTGAAAAACCAATCCACCCACCAGTTATGTGAAAGCAGGTTTCCCTCCCCGTAATTCTGAAGACTTATGTTTTCATTACAGGAAAGCTACATATCTGTATGCCTGGAAAAAAAGACCTTAAAAATGTAAGCAACTCCAAAGGAGAACGTGGTTTAGCAAAGCAGAAGCCAACTGGAACGAACCTGTGGTCATTCACAGCTGTTACTCTGACCAATGAGGGAAACATCAGGAAATATCAAGGCACTTCAAGTTCACACTGCTCAGGAATTCCAGTAGTAGTAGACAAGCCCATTAATCACAACATACAGTACTTACTACCAAGCATTACAGGAATATATGTATAAACACACACTAGATGTGCTGTAACACAGGGGGATCCGAGTAACCAAATTCCAAGGCTTCCATTACATCACAACTCAACCTCCCCTCCACTTGCTACTGAGAAGTCACGGTGAAGTTTTGGAACAAAAAGATGACAGACAGCCCTCAGAATCCAGGTTGCACCTGTGAGCACTGCAGAATACTTCAGCAGTTTCCAAATGCAACAAGCCTTCAGCTGGACACATCTCTCAAACACCAGTCACTGAAGCAAGCACACACATGGTGCCTAACTATAGTCCCCAGAGGTGCAGTATGCACTTCAGCTGAGCCAACCTAACCCCTCAATGCCTGAGACCAGGAAGTTTCACATGCCCATTCTCCCCTATCCCCAGCTCCTTCTTCCTTTTCACAGCCTTTTACATACAACACTGATCCAGCTGAATAAACCAACAAGAAAAACTTGGGGTTTTTGGTCTTTTTTTGGTATGGTTTGTTTTCTGCCTTGTCAGAAAACTGAACTAGATCATGGTCACAGAATCACAGAACCAACCATAGAACAGTTTAGGTTGGAACGACTTTAAAGATCACCTCGTTCCAACCCCCCTGCCACAGGCAAGGACACCTTCCACTAGACCAGGTTGCCCAAAGGGCCGTCCACCAAGGCCTCGAATTCTTCCAGGGATGAGACATCCACAGCTTCTCTGGGCAACCTGTTCCATGCCTCACCACTCTCATAGTGAAGAATTTTTCCTAACATCTAACCTCCCCTGTCAGTTCAAAGCCATTTCACCTTGTCCTATCACTACATGCCCTTGCAAAAAGTCCCTCTCCAGATGTCTTGCAGGCCCCCATCATGTGCTCAGACTTGTCTCATCAAACCCCACCTGTTGAAGACAGTGCTCCATCCCAATCCTCTTTCATACCAGGTCACCTCCACACTGGTCTGGCAGTGCCAAAACAACTGTAGAACAAACACAGACAGTACCAGATGGAGGTACAGAGCCTTTGTTGCCAAGCGAACTGTATCTTGCATGTTTACCTGCCACCTACCGGAAGACAGCATCTTTGCAAAACATGTTCTGAAACAACCTGACCCTCTTAAACAACAAATATCTTACTTTTATCACTTCTGATTGCAGAGTCCTGTAGAGCAGATCATAAAATCACCGAGTTCTGCCCGACTCCTGAATAAATAGGAAATCCCTTTTGTTTCAAGTATCTCGCAGATGTATGAAGTGAACAAGATATTACAGAGAATGTGAGAGGTGAAAGCGACTATGAAAGACCTGCCCAAGCATAACTGCAGTAACCATAGGGCTTAAGTTATTCCTTGCTGGTTCCTGGAATACAAGCTTTTGCAACTTCGACATTTAGGTGGCCTTCCATGGATTCTCTGGTGTCTAACAAAGCCAGGTCACACTGTAGCCTTTATCCCAAAGAAGCTTCCATAAGACAGACAACAGCCACTAACCCCCCAGCTCTTATTCCAATCCAGAACTCAAAACAAATAAGACATACATCACTGCACATGTTGGACTTCCACCATCCCTGGAAGCAAGAAAAGCTGCATGCATGTGAAGAGTTCTTCACCCATGAAAGAGTGTCAGAGAGCCATGACCATTTGATCACACTTACATCAAACTTTTGTCGAACAGAAGATATCTTTTTCTTTCCTTTGGGTTTTCCAGGTTTAGTTGCAGAGCCACCCGGCCACGGCAGAGTTCCAGCACCTTCTACAAATTGAAAAGGTAAAAAAAAACCAACAAACAAACAAACAACCAAAAACCAACCAAAAAACACAAGCATCAAAACTCCTTAACCCAAAATCAACAGCCATGGCCCGAAGGAAGGACTTCTCAGAGGAGAATGCTTTTGGCAGCCCTTTCCTTTCTTCATCAGCCCCCTGCAAGCTTGACTTACTCATGTCCCATTACTTTAGTACAAACTTGTCAGCACACCACACAAAAATCCATGGTGGAAGGATGGAGAAGAGCACAACTACCAGGAAAGCCGCAAGGAAGGAACAAGCCATTTATTCCATCAGGAAGATGACAGGACCTTGCCCACAGGGAGGATTCCCCTCCCACCAACTCCTGGATCAGATGACAAGCAAAAGGATCAAGCAGTCTGACTTGTTATCTATGCCTTTACAGTTAGTTCCCCATCAGCTTTAGCCAGCTTTGTCTCACACCCTTGTTAAACATCACAGCTGATCATTCTTGCTGCGCTGAGGGGAGACAGGGGAAGAACTGCAAAGGCCACTGAGCTCAGGAGCAGGATGACACCAAAGCAAGCAGTGAGCTTGTGACTGACCAGAACTGGCAGGCAGCTGAGAATGTGATTACTATGTAATACCAATAAATACATTTGGCCACATCAGAAGTCCACAATATGCTGACAGCTATGCCTATAGTAGGTCAAACCAATTCTGACAATCACAGAGCTCTTGACAAGGACAGCCTAGCAGACTTACCACTGATGAGTTTGCAGGATCAATGCACAATTCCCTAAGGTACATTGGCACTAAGTGTTGGTTTGGATGCATATGCACTTGCTGACAGTGAACAAAAAGTACAACTCAAAGACTGGACAGCCCTCTCGTGGCTACAGTGGCAGCCTCTGCTCTGCACCACCAGTATCCTCCTCCCTTAGTTTTGCATAGCACGTGAGCACCCTTTTTGAGTCCCTGCCCACCTCCAGGGACGCTAGACAACTGAGCTCTGAAGGTCTTTAACTCAGCTCCAAAGTGGAGGCTGGAGCTCTACTGCCAGGCAGTGCTGACAACACTTTTTAGATGTTCTCTTGCCCAAGAGCAGCATTTGCCATTACAAGACAGCAGCCAACCCACAACTCACCATCCACAGCTTGGCCACCCTCAAGCACACTCACTGAGTACCAACAACCAACCATTCTGGTTCCCTCCCGGTACTGCAGGTGGCCACAGCTCAACACCAGCTTCACATCAACCTGTGTGTTTACCTCCAGCTCTCTATTAAACTATGTTCAATTTGCTGTAATCAGGAACTCATAAATACAATTACACTACAGCCCTGCTTACAGGGAATGAGGCTGGCTAAAGGTCCTTAGCTATGTGGAGCTTCCCACTCTCCTGGCTGAAGCATGAGCAGTGTCCTCTGCCATGAAAGAAAAACAACTTCTAAAACATGACTTTAGGGGTCAGGTTAAACCAGAAGAAACCAGGTGAAGTTTCTGAACCACCAGGTGCTAAGAAGGGGTTAGAAACAAACTACACACACAGAAATGATATATTGCTCCTATAAAAAAAAGTTTACTAAAAAGTTAAGCTATATCCTAATGGTGAGGTGAAAACCAATAGTCTACAATGAGTCCTGTTGCCCAAATCCACCAGTCAATTATAGAAAATTAAAAGATAATAAATCCCCTCCAAAAATTATAAAGCTGGTGTCACTACTCATCACTACAACATCAGTGAGGAGAGGCCCTCATGAGTGGGTGTCGGAAAGCACCATGAGGGCAACCAACTCAAGGACCGATACTGCCCTTCATCAAGATCTCAGGGCTTACATCTTAGGATCTATCAAAATAACACTACTTCTCTCACAAGATGCTTTGCTCTTTACAGATGAGTCCTTTCTTGCTCCTCCTCCTCTCCTCCACAGCAGGTCAGACGCCTTCTAGGCAGGGGGGATTAGGTGTGTTATGGACACAGAAATTACCTGGTCCATTCCAAAGCTTTCAATAAAAGCACATCTTTAGCTTGCAATGCCACCCCACCCCAGGCCCTTCTTCCCTATGAGTCATCACATACAGCTCCTCATCCTCACTTGTGACAGCTTCCTTAACAACTAACTACATGACAGGTGGTGGAGACAGAGAAACTGGAACAGATGGAGACAGAAACAAACCATCCTTTTGTCTAATAATGTATTAATGATTAACAGGTTACAGCAGGATCAGAATTTTTTAAATGTCTTATTTAAAAATATATTATAGTGACTTTTAAACAAATGGCAACTGATTTTCAAGGCTTTGACAGTGGATCTGAAAGATGCAACTTAACCAAATCTCAGCCTGTGCATTAAAACAAATTTAGCCAGACTTAGCTTAGAATAAGGAAAAAGAGAGACACTGTCTCCTACTGTCCATTGTAATAAGGGCAGAGCAGAATTTTTTTGGCTCCTTTTCCAGGTTTTGTATTACCAAGCCTGTCTTGCACTAGACAAAGAAAGCAAAATTTCCCTCTAGTATTCTAAGAAAACCAGTACTTGCATTCCTGGCCACAAGTGACAAGGCTGGGCTGTCCCAGGCATGAAACTTCAGAGATGTTAGCAGCTTTTTTTTGAATCTTGCTAGCAAGAGAATGAGGTATTAAAAAGCCACAGCAATGGCTGCTGATAGGCCTTCAAAGATGAGCAACAGATAAGAATGTTTTTCTAAGAGCTGCCGCATATCTGCGATGATGGCACCAGCAAGTCCAGACAGAGCGCGTCAGGTCTTCCTGACATGCTGCACCAGCACCACACAGGAGGAAAGGTCAAAGATACAAACAGAGAAAGTCACGACAGAGAAAAGCAGCCAGGCACAGGAAGCATGCATTTTTCCACCCTCGTTCAATCTTCAGTTGTTTTGGATTTTGTTTTCCTGCAGAGACAAGGGTTTAGTCAAATATATTCTGATGACTCTCCTCTGTCAAGAATTCACACTTCCATTTTCTTCCTTTCCTCCCTTCCCATGTCTGGAGAGAAGAGAACTCATGCAACCTGAGCCCATCTCACAGGTGGCAGTCCTTCGAGAAAAGCCTGTGGGCAATGCTGATAGAATAAAATGCTCCTGCTATCCTGGCATGAGCTCCAGTTTGCTGAACCATCTCTTAGATGGCTCCAGATTACTAGCAAATAAATTAAACCCTTACAACGCCAAATCAAGCGCATGCAATTGTCTCAGGTTTATTGTTAACATTTAGCTGAGGGAGGTAACAGTTCAAGTGAGGTAAGTATTAACTCAAGAAATTTTGCTGACTTGACTGCAACAAATAAGCTTAGTGAACATGTCCATGCAAGCTTAAAAAAAAAAAAAAAAAGCTTTACATTTTAGTTCTTTTGATGGAAAAATGATATAAAAATTCAGAAAAGCACTTACAAAAATACTGGTAGAAAGAGAATACCAAAGAAAACAGTTTTCTTATAATGGGAAGTGTGCCACACCACTCAGACTGGTACAGCCAACCTAAAATTACCAGTAAGGCACACTATAGTATTTTGGATAGCATATTTCTGGGAAGCTTCCTCTCTTCTAGCACTTTCACAGCTTCCCAGCTATGTTACAGATGGGTGCCACTCAAATATTTATGGGTGTCTTCACAAATATGGCTAGCAGAGGGGAAAAACATCCATTTTTAAAAAGGGCAGAGAAGCCAGATACAGGGTTCCTCAGAACCCTGCTGTGCCCTCAGTGGGAGCTCAGCAGGAATTAAAGAAACTGGTCATTCTTCACATTGAAATAGGTATGAACTTCCTTCCCTCTCTACCACCAGCTCCTAAACATCCCATGCCAGACAGGCTGTTGAACTGGGATTTGAACTTTGTGTGACCAACAGCCTAAGCAGATGAGACGGGGAAATAGGAAGTGTCCTCACAAAGGGTCACATTCCCCCAGCATCCCTTACAAGTCCAAGTGGAACCACTACTGCCAGAGACAGTAAAATGTGGATCAGATCAGTTTGCATGGTCCAACATACATGATAATCACTTCTTAAAAACACCTTCCCCAAAGCTGCCTATTCCAAATGCTACAATAACAAGTACACTTTTAACACTGACCACACATTAATCAAAATAGCATTTTAAGATGGTTCTTTTTCCATTGTGTCTCTCACATGAAGGTGGAAAGTACATGCGCCAGTAACCCTCATGACATGCCAAGTGCATCAAGCACACTTCTTGAAAGTTACTTGTTTCCATGAATCATGATGTTTACATCTCCACCTTCTGCCCAAAAGACAGTGGTGGAGACAAAAGCCTGTCAGCTTTCTATTCTCACATTGGGAAAAAGGAAAAAGAAAAAGGAAGAAAAAAAACAACCTTGCAGGTATCAAACTGATATTTAGAAGGAAAAAACCAAGTCTAGACACAGCATCTAGTATTCCACTTGTACTGAACTTTCCTGGGTTTGCACGTGTGATCAGCTGCACCACACACAGCAGACTGGCAAGTAAAATGTGTGTCTACCAGTCAGTTGCCCAAAAAGAGGTATCTCAGCACAGATTAGCTCAAAAATCAGTGGGAGACTGCACTGACCTGAGGAGAGCAAAACAGACTCTAGAAGGGACTAGCAGCATGTACCATTAACTGCAAAGCACTAAACCATGTCCTCAGGAACACACACATGGTTAAACTGCAGTGGTTGTTTCTTTTCAAGCTGGCTTATGCAGATGTGTGGCTAGAGCCAACAAAAGCCTGCCTGAAAGCACTGGAGGTGACCACCAGCTGGTCAGCTACCACTCCATTACATGCTGTCACCAAGCTGCTGAACCACAACCATGAAGGGCTCTTCAAGGGCTTTTAAAGACAGTAAGCTTCAATGGGACAAGAGAGAAAGTCCTTGCAAGGACTTGAAATGAAAAAAGGTCAGGCAGGACATAATAAGCATATGGAAGAGACCTGTGGAGCACCACACTGCTTTGTGATGGGGCTTGCACTTTTAACACACTCCTAGATAGCCTTGAAAAGAGGAGCACTTGGCGGGGCTGGTAGAGTTTGTTGGCAGATCTGAGCTACTCAAGCCCGGGAAGATGAGGCCTGACTGGATGGCTGCAAAAAAGCTGCAGAAGACTATGTGACTGGATAAAGAGACAACTGAAATTCAATAGTTAAGAACAGAGTAATGCACATAGAAACTAACAACCCCACCTTTAGTCACACAGCAATGGGCTCTAAGTTGACTACTGTCACTCAGAAGCAAGACCTATGAGCTTTGATCTCTACTCCAACACTTGCAACAGCTCAGTGCTGAGCTCAGGGAACGCAGACACGCTCTCCCTCCACCTCATAATTTACACTTCGATACTTCAGGTAACACCCACAGGGGAATTGCTGCGCTTGCACTTTCTTTTTATAATCCAGCTGCAAGCCAAAAGCAACTACTAAGTCAAAAGCAAGGAGCAGCAAGATTAATATAAAGAGGAAAAGCCTGAGACTCAAAAGGCATTCATAAAGTTCAAGAGCAAACAAAGCAAGTTTGGACATGGGAGAGGTTAACATTTAATTAGCACAGCTGGTATAGTTAAAGACCAGCTACAACACAAAAAGCTGTGGGCATCCAAAAATGCATTTTTTTTTTCATTCCTCTAGATACATCAGGTACACTAGTAACAGAGATCTTCTCTCCTCAAAATCTTGCCTCTTCACTCTCAGCCCAGAGCTGTAACAATTTTTTCTCCCTTACTACGCAGCAGTCTCATATTTTGGATTGCAGTTCAGCCATCCTTCCTACCAAATCTCCAATTGAGAGCTCTTCTGAAGACCAAAAAGACAACAGCCACTGAAAATGCTCACAGAGCTAAAAGGTGAACTATCTGAAGAAGGCTGGGTTAACCAGCCACAGCTCAACCAAGACTCACTGTAAGCATTCCCAGTAGAAGCCTTTACACTTCAGCCCACAGCACACACCCAGTCCAGGAATCAAACCAATTTATCACACACAGCAACCCAGCGTCAGCCTCTAACCAAGCACAAACTGCTTGTTCAGAAAAGCATCTCTGCTGAAGTCAGCTGGATCACTATTTTGCTACCCTTTAGCCTGTGTGGCAAAAAGAACACTGATATTAAGGCTCAGAAAACTGGCGTACTTTGTACAAAGTACGCATGGCAAAGCATTGATACCTGGTTGTTTTAATAAGGCTTCTCAGGACTTACCTGGTGCAGAAACCAAGATCTGGCATCGGGTAAGAATGGCCAGGAGGAAATCGTTGTGAGAGTGGACTGTATAAAGATAGACAGCTCATTAGCAACACATCAGTGCCCAGAGGCACTCCCTCAAATCGATCTTACAGTAGCTCACAATGCCCTTCCAGTCACACATTGCCCACCTGCTTAGCTACATAGGCACAACTCTCAATTTAAGTTTTTTTGAGAACTTTCTTCTTCTAGACCCAGAAACTGCTACTACTATACTAACAAAAAGGATACTACACGATATGAAAATAAATTTTATCACTTCTCAGTGTGCTACACATGCAAATCCAGCCCTAAAGCATGCGACATGAAACATCGGGTGCATTCAGCCAGTCAGAGAAGGATCCAGTGTCCCTCCTGCCATGCAGACTTATGGTAGCAGAGCTTTTGGTTTGCTAGGAAAGAACCAATAAAAGCCACTCCCAGAGAGGGAAAATTAAGTCAAACAGGCTCGAGATAAATGCAACTTCCTTGAAGAAAGCTTACTGAAACACAAAATAAGTAAATATGCATGAGAAAGACAAAAGATGAACTTCATAAATGGGGTCAGAGGGTGAAAGGATCCTCTTTAGCTTTTGAACACGAGCACTAACAGACTCCCTGCTCTTTCCCATAGAGATAACAAACATGGAGGTCAGGAGCCCCAACAATAATCTCAGCAATGCCCACCACTGTTCACAGACCTACAGAGAGGCAACGATAAGAGACTGTCACCCTCCAGCACTCCCACCTGCTACCCCAAAGAACAGGAAAGGCACCTGCCTGCTGCAGAACTGCCCAGGTGAGTTTGGGGTTCCCTTCTCCACTTCAACCACACCAGTTCAGTCCCAGTCACAGGAAGAGCACAGCATGCAAAGGACACTTTCCATGCTGTTTTGTTATGTCTACAGTGACATAACAAAATGGCATTTTTTTTGCTGGGACACCATATTTTACTGTATTCTCACAAGACCAAATTGCCTGTCAGTGCCAAGGCCACAAAGGGACTTTTCCTCAGCAGCTCAGGGCACCTCCCACCTAGGGCTACAGGAGCCCCAGCTATTCTTATTTCCCTTACAGCAATTTCCCTGTCCGGGAAGCAGTGCACAGCAGAGAGGAGCTCCTCCCAGGCCTGGCAAACCAGCATCAGAGCCACAGACACACAAACACGAGATGGCTTTTTACCATTGTCTTGCGTAAGAAGCCTGCGCGCTTCCAGGTCAAACTCCTCCTTACTGATCTTCTGTTTGAACCAGAGCTTCAAATTGGCCCAGTACCTAGGGGAGAGCGGGAAAGGCAGAGACATCAAACAAAAAGCGCTGCTCCTAAACGGCCTCCTTCCCAACACCAGCACAGAGGGGTCCGGAGCCCAGGCCAACGCTGAGGCTTCCGTACAGGCACGGTACAAACGCGCGCCCAGGCCCCACTGCCGCTCGGCCTCACCCTCCAGCCGGCTTCCCTCCTCCACTGCACTCACTGCTTCACGTTCTCGCCCAGCGCCTCGCTGAGGCTCTTCTTGGCCGCCTCCAGCTCGCTCACGTACGTCGCCATTACCGCCACTACCCGACAAAGACAACAGAATCTCCCTCCTCTCCCAAGCCACAAAGCGCGACGGCAGCCGTAAAGCACAGCGACCACCCGTCACGTGACAGCCCAGGGCTCTCACCGCCGGAGGGGGCGGTGTCTGCGCGCATGTGCAGAGGCGGCAGCGTAGGCAGTCGCAGGTGCAGCCATGCCGGGGTTGCTGCTGGGCGATGAGGCGCCCAACTTCGAGGCGGACACCACGCAGGGGCGAATCCGCTTCCACGATTTCCTGGGAGACTCGTGAGCATCGCGGGAAGGAGGGTCGGGAACGGGGGACCTCGGCGGGAGGGCGTCAGGGTAGGAGGATGACCCCGAGGCCGGCCCGCGGGAAGGGGGCCGCTCACCGCGCAGCAGACCGGCCCAGGGTCCCGCGCCCCGATTGCCTTCCGCTTCGGGCGCCGAGAGCTTGAGTTTTATTTCCAGGTGGGCACGGCCGTTCATTGCCCGTCCCCTGGTGGGAGCTTGGCGGGCTTATCCCAGAAATGTTCGCTTTCCCCTTGCGGAGCCGCCGCGGTGTGTGTGACACGGGCCGGGGGCCGCGATGTGCCAGGGGAGCGCAGGCCCCGCCGAGCGCGGGGAGCCGCCTCTCCCCATCCTTCCTGCGGGCTGCGCAGCCAGAGGGCCGGCAGAACTCACCACGGGAGAGCCGAGCCCAAGGAGAGCAAAGACGGGCTCTGAAAACTGCAGAGCCCGGACAAGTGCAAAGCCAGGCTTGCCAGGGCACAGCTCAGTCCAGGGCAGCCCCAGAGATCAGCTCGCGTGTCACATATGTCCTGTGCGAGCCTGGAGAGTGAGCCTGGGCTTGCGGAGGTGTATAATCGAGCGGTAGCAAAGTCCTGTTGGAGCCACTTGTTGGAAGTAGAAAGCCACTTGTTTTTAGGCACTATTTCCCAAAAAAAAACTGTTGCTCCATTTCTGGCTGGAGCAGGAGAGTGCTGGCACAGCACATTTAGGACTTGCGTCCTGCAGTGCTTGGCAGGGTTGAATCGGTGTTTGAGTCCGCTTCTGTCAGTGTTGTGAGCTTGGGCAAATGGGGAGAAAAGAACCCTCTTAGTGAGAAAATAAGGTGCAGGGCTTCTTGAAACTGTATGTTCCAGCCTGAGCACCCACATGATAGCTTTCTTGGGCAGCTTCTATCTGGGTTTTTGTTGCCTTTTTTTCAAGTAGTACACATATTGTATAAAGAGACTTGTAGCACTACTGGCCAGGTCACTGCCCTGTAAGTTCTGTTGGTGAGCCATCTGCAGGGTGCCTCAGTGTATCCCTCCAGCTCTGTTCCCATTTCTCTAAGACAGGACAGAGGTGAGCTGTTCCCGCAGTATTCTCTGTGCAATACAGTCTATACAGCTTTTTGTCTGTGAATGAGAATTACTTAATGAGAAACTTCATATGAAATACCAGGACACAGATCTGAGCTGAGGTATGCTGTCAGACTGAGAAGGAAGCTTCTGCAACATCTGTCTAGAATATGTCAGTGCTTGTCAAATTATAGTAAACTGTAATTTCATAAATATTAAAATTAAAAATTTTACTGAAATTTTGCTGAAAAAAGCCCGAAACAATATGTTGCCCTAATGCCATCTCCTGCTCTCTCCTTTCAGATGGGGCATCCTCTTCTCCCACCCACGGGACTTCACACCCGTCTGCACCACAGAGCTTGGCCGGGCGGCAAAGCTGGCCTCCGAGTTCAGCAAGCGCAATGTGAAGATGATCGCCCTCTCCATTGACAGCGTCCAAGATCACATGTGCTGGAGCAAGGTATGGGGCATGAAGAGGCACAAGGGGAGCTTGCACTGCTGCCTTTGCTCTGAAGGCCAGAGGAAGAGTTCATGCAGAACAAAGCACACACTCAGGATTACATATGTCAAATCCCAAAGCATGTAGGATAGGAGTGGCTAAAATTCAGAGTAAGAATAGAAAGGTCTGCTCCCATCTTCTTGGAGCACTCCGCAAAGTCCAGGGCACTCTAATTACTAACACTTTGAAATAGGAGGAAAATAGTATTACTGCTCTCCCACCAACGCCTGAAAGAATAACATAAGTGAAGATGGTGCCAGAACTTGCAGGAAAGCAGTCTCTCCATAGACCTTCAAAAAGTTCTGTAATAAAACAGGAAAGGAAAGGAGGTATCAGACACGAACAGGCAGTCTTCAAAGGGTGCAATTCATGCCCAGACACGGGGAAAAAAAAGAGAACAAAGAGGGACATGTTAAACTTAAAACCACAAGTAAGAGAATGTTAAATATAAAACCACCATAAAAGGAGTATATAAAAAGATGGGAATGAAATAGCTTGCTGAAAGAACATAAACTAATTAAAAACTTCAGTTGCAGCGTCAGCAGTGGTGCGCTGCCAGGGAGTAAGATTCCAGGCCTCATAGGTAGCAGGGGTGTAAAATGAGCATTTCAGACGGATATGGCCAGAGAATAGAAATCTCTGGGTGAATTACCTGCCTTTTAATTTGCTCTTAACATTGAGAATATTTTCACATTTTCCAGGAGTAAGACATGCATGCAATAAGAGGTAGTAAAAGTGAGAAATATCCACAGTTCAACATTGTTTCATTACTGACTGGCTTTAGAAATTACTTAATTGCCTTTTTGCTTAAATTGACCTTCTTCCATTAGGGGTGCATGGCTGATGTCCTTCCAGGCTCCAGAATGTCCTGGGAAAACTGGTGTACAAATCCCACTCCAGTAAATGAGATTTCCATGCCGGTCAAACTGGCTGAAACCACCAGTCAAAATAGCAGATAACATCCCATTAAATATAGCAGAAAGTTTGTGCTTTTGTAAGGAAGTCTCATCTCATGGTTGGCTAAAGCCATGTGAAGTTACTGCTGACTTTTACAAAGTCTTAAAATTTCCAAGAAGCTTTTGACCAAAGCAGCTTTGTGAAGGGCAGGCTCTTTTTCTGCAGGGAGACAGGATGAGGTGGTAAGTTGTGGCAAAGGAGGGTCTGCAGGGATGCCTGGGGTTCAGCACGGGTGATCTGGAAAAGATATGAAATATGAACAACGAGCTGACTTTGCTGACATTATGGAATTATTTAGCACAACCTCAAGGTAAAATCAGAAGTTGCAGAACAGTCACTTGATGCTAACTAATGGGAGGCAGAGTTTAGAAATGTTTAGAAAATCTTCCAGAACAAGCATGGAGAAAGGCAAAGGGCAGTAGTCCAAGCTGCAGGGAGCTTTCTGTCAGGCTGTGAGAGGCCTCGCAGGCAGTGGTTTGGAAATGTCAGCTCAGCACCTGTCAAAGAGAAAAGTGTGGAGGTCCACCAGAGCAAAGATCCAGCTGGTGAGGACAAATCCGTAGCAGACTGGAGCCTTCCATATAGTCTGTGTTTGAAATAATCCATCTTGCAGGCTACAGGAGAACAAGAAAAGGTGGAGAGGGGGAACAAAGCTGCCTGCAGGTTTGGGCAGGTCTACTTCAGTGCAGAACAACTGGGGCTCTTTAGCCTGGGAACAGGAGGACATGTTAGGCTACAACACTGTGAGCAGTATGGGGAGCATGGAGGAGCCATGAACCTCCATGCATACATCATGGAGGGTATAAGAGAGGACAGGAATGTGATTGTTCTGCTCTTAGACCTTGCCTATATACATGATCCTTTTTCTTTTGTCCTTGACAAAACTTAAAAGAACTTCAGATAATGTGGAGAGCTAAACAGGGAAAGCAACTGTTTGGGCCTACCACAAGGCTGAGACTGGGGGCAGTGCTCTAAGGGTTCTCCTGCCCAGCCACAGGTTAAAAAAGAGCTTAACAGACATACAAAGCCTTGGCAGAAGCTGACTGTTTGGACAGAAGCAGACTTCATTAAATGCTAAACTGAAATCTAGAAACTGCAGTTTTCTTCACTAGATCTTAGAAATCCTAGGGGTGAGCAAAACTTCAGGCAGGCCTCTCTGTGCAGCATTCCTTTACATACCTATGCTTTCTTTTTGAATGAAGCTTCTAGCAGTAGTGAGATGATGAAGCTGCTTTTATCTGGAGCACAGCCTGTGAGGAAGAAAGTGGGCAGGAGAAATGGCTGAAATTCTGCATGAAACAACAAAGAAACTTCTGCTTGCTTTGCTGCCAAATTTCAGTGGGCAGTGAGACCAGAGTATACCAAATAATTCTCATGTCACTGCTCAGCTCTGCTTTCTCAGTCAAAGATGTCACTGCTGTTCTTAGGCATCTCTAGCCAAGACCCAGCGGCTTGCTCCAGGACTCAGAGCAAGCCTGTAGCTCAGCCAGGGTTTGATCCCACTCTCCTACCTCCCCGGTCTGTGCAGTGCTTCTCCAAGGGCTGGCTGAATGCGTGAGCTCTGTAAGCAGCATTGACTGGCATGTGCTGTGCATGTTGGAGGAAGCTTTGGTGTTCTCTTTGGCTAGTGATGCCCTCACCTTGGTGAGTCAAGAGTGAATAAATCACTGCAGTGATGTCTGGTTTCAGCTTGGATGCTGGAAAGAAAATAATTTGCAGGGGAGTAAGCAAGTCTTGAGTGTCTTATTGCAAAATAGGGTGGGGTTTGTTAGGCTGTTTTGTACAAAGGTCCCCAGGTCATGAAATTATGTGCATTTTGGAACGACTTACAGTACATAGGATTCAGATATTGCTTCTCAGAAACTCTCTTCATCCTCCAGCCCCCATTCTGAAGAGAGGAGGGGGGGGCATGTCACTGTCTGACCTTTATCTACAGCCTCCTGTGACACTGTAGGGCATTTCACATGGGCTGGCCTCTCCAGCTTTGCTTTCCTTCCGTACTCTGCTTTTGATAAGGCTTGCCGGGGACAGCGTTACAGCCCCTTCTGCCTGCTCTTGCTGCTTCTGCAATGCCAAACAGCAGTGGGCAGTGCCAAGAGGCACCATTTCCAATCCTGCCATCCTTGCGTTCCCTCTAAGCAGGACTCAGTCTTTTCCCCTGTGTTCAAAGCCTGGGGAAAGTAGGGAGATTTGTACATTCAGATTACCAGCTCAGCTGATAATGCACCACACTGATGTGTGGGAAGCTTGTGTCAATGCTGGAGGCAGTTTTGTCTCTTTGTAGCATAAAGAGAACAGAGGAAATGGGCAGCTTTGTTCTGGGGCAGAAACTGCAGATTAAACTTGCTTTCATGTTGGCAGCTGATCTGCTTGTGCTGCCTTGAGCAGGCTCCTCGCAGCCTTGCTGTGGCTCAGGATGACCTGTATGGGTGGTACTGCAAACTGCAAGAGTAACTCGACTGCTTTGGCCAAGTTCAGACCAGATTCAGAGACGCTCAAAATACAGTTTCGCTGTGAAGTGGGTCAAGTTTGGACTAGCACAAGGAACAGCTTCATAAACTATGGTTACAAGGGAGAGTCTGCAAAGATGTGGAAGGGGATTGTTTTCTGTCCCAGCCATGGTTCACCTGCACTCAGACTTTCGCTCCATTTTCAGAAGTGTTTAAGTGACGTAGGAGTGACTTGCTCTGTGAGACTAGTTCCTCATACAAGACCTGTGAAGTGTTCGACATGGTACCTTTGTTAGCTTTAGAGTTGCTGGTTTGGTCTGTCACTAGAGAAACTACCTTAAGAGCACAGTCCAGTTCAGGTGTGACACCAACACATCTGTCAGTAGTGCTAGATTACTTACTCGGAGAGGGTCAGAAGAGGAACACCTCTGTTCTCAGAGAAAGGTGGTTACATCTCCCTGTGTCAGTAGCATGGGCAGGACTTCCCTATTTCTCCATACCCGCTTCCTGGGCAAAATAGCTGGTCCACAGGCAGTTCCAGAGGTGAGCCACAGGGTGTGAGCATAGACAGCCTAACAACTAACCTCTAAGAATGAGGCAAAGTGCAGCCTGGCATGCAGGTTTCTGGTTTGTCACCTGGTTTCTGGAAGCAGAGAAACTTCCTGGAAGGCTGTGCTGTCCCAGCCTGCAAGTAAGGGGCCAAGTAAGTCACAAGCTCCTGTAGAGCAGCTGCTGAATACATTTCTGCATGGCCCCTTGCAGGAGGTTGCCCCACACATGTTAAGCCTGTGTGGAGATCTCCCTCTCTGGCCTCTGCCTCCTGTGATGGTACCCACAACAGTGAGCACAAGCATGCCATGTTTTGTCTCTGCAGGACATCAATGCATACAACGGGGGACAACCGGAGGAGAAACTCCCCTTTCCCATCATTGCTGATGCGAACCGGGAGCTCGCTGTCAAGCTGGGAATGCTGGACCCAGATGAGCGGGACAAGGATGGCATGCCGCTGACTGCTCGTGTGGTGAGTACCTGGAGCACTGCTGTGCAGCAGCCTTCTCAACAGGAGGCTTCACCTGTTTCCTGCCCTGTGTCTGTGGGGCTGGGTTTGAAGATGGGCACAGCTTACCTGGATGGGTATGACCATCCTCAAGAGCTAGGTTGACTTCCTTGGGCTAGATCCATGGGTTGTGATGCAAGAAGAGGCTTGTGTAGCACTGGCCTGCTGGCAGCAGCTCCATCCACCAGCTCATCCTGGCTGTGCCTGTCCTAACACAGAGGTGACAAAAGAGCTTGATCTGCTGGACTCCAGTGCTTGCATTAGAAAGGTACAGGTCAAGGGGAAGAAACATTTCAAGTAGCAAACCAATCTGGTATTAGATACAGGAGCACTGAGAACATGCACTGTGCTCCCTGGGCATCACTTGTTGCTCTAGATCCCCACCATGGCATCTCCCCTGTCCCAACACCTTCGATCAAGTATACCACCTTTCAGGAAAGGGAGGAGCAGCAGGGCTGAGCAGACGCAGCAGACCAGTTGGATTTTACCCAGGCCCTGATCCTGTCTGTCTGTACTCAGGTGTTTGTTTTTGGCCCGGATAAGAAGCTGAAACTCTCCATACTGTACCCAGCCACCACTGGGAGAAACTTTGATGAGATCCTGAGAGTGGTGGACTCCCTGCAGCTGACGGCATACAAGAAGGTCGCTACCCCTGTGGACTGGAAGGTGAGGAGGGGTGCAAAGCTCACAGCTGTCCACTGAAAACATGGATTGAAATGTCAACCAGCCTCCTTTGAAGGGGGACTCACAGGGTGGGAAAGCTGATGAGGTCGTGCGATACGGGTTGCTGCAGTCTGGAATCAGCCTTAAGAACCTCCCTTCCCAGCCCTCAGTGCCCAGTGCCAGCAAATACTCAGCTTGGCCTTTCTGGCTATCGGTACTTGAGCTTTGTGCCAAGGCAGGTCCTGTTGTGTGATCAGGAGGGGCACTACCAGGTATCAGTGTGCTCAGGTCTGCTCAAAGCCAGCACAGCAGCAGGCGTGGGGCACCCTTCCCAGGCCCACACACTGTTCTCCTTCCTTTGAGCCAGGAAGGGCCAGTGTGGGCACAGAAATTTACGTAGCATGTACACAGTAGAGACATCCTCATAGAAGGTTACTAGTTGCTTAGTTGTGGTCCCTCCTCCATCTTAAGAGATACCCAGATTCCCCTATTGTTACTCCCTGTTCCTGTGGAAGTGCTGTGGGAAAGAGCTGGCCTGTGGGATCCCATTGGCAGGGCTGGCAGAAGGCACAGTTCTCCCTTTTGACATCACCCATACCTCCTGATGTAGCTCCCACTCAGTCCTCACTGCCAGCTCCAGGCAGAGCTGCAGGGGATATGCCTGGGGCACTGGGGTTGAGTGTTCCTGGAGAGGCAGGGACATGCCAGCTCCTCTGCTGCTCTCACAGTTCCCATTTGCTCCCCAGCCTGGTGACAGTGTCATGGTCGTGCCCACCTTACCTGATGAGGAAGCCAAGAAGCTCTTTCCCAAAGGAGTCTTCACGAAGGACCTCCCATCGGGCAAGAAGTACCTGCGTTACACCCCACAGCCGGAGTGAGCAGGTGTGACCAACCATCCTGCACATCGTTTGGCATCAGGAGCCTTTGTTGTGTCCAGCTCCTGCCTCCCTAACACTGTGCAACCAGCAGCCTCGTACTGTTACACTGATGATGCGTTGCAATACTAAACCAGTCCTCCCCATCCCTTTCACCCTCCACATCTTCTCAAAACTAAAACCCCGAGTGTTTGATTGCCTTGAATCAGCCCCACAAGGAAGAGGTTAGCAGACCAGTGGGGGCTCCATGGCTTGTGCTGTGGAGTCTCCTTGTTTCAGAACCAGCTAAGATTTTCCTGGAGGCACAGTAAGAAACGTAGTGTCAGCAGCCAGGCCCCAGAGGGGTGTCCTGCTCAGTTCGCGCACCTCCCATTAGGGAGTTTTTGGGGGTTCCAAACTGCTGTGTGCCTTTTGAAGCAGCTGTCACTAACACATTAACACCTTCATCTGGTCCTATGCGTAGGGGAGGAGCTGCAGAGCCAAATCTCTCACTTCTTACTGCTTTCTCATATCTTGCTGGAAGTTGTTTTCAGGTTTTAGGGAAGAGGGAGTAGAGTGAATAAACTGATCTTCAGTACTACCTGCAGTATCCCCTGTCTGCCTCTGCTGGCATCCATGGCACCCCTGCACCACCTACTTTGTTCCCTTGTGGCTGTGCCACTGGAATGTGTGCCCATGTTCCTGGGTGGGTGACAGTGGCACAGACTGACCTTGCTCTTGCTCTGTAAATAAGGCACTTGGGAAACACATGTTGTCCCATGACAGAGTCTCAGACAAGGCAGGGGGCCCAGGGCAGTTGTGGTGCCCCTGCTTTACAGCAGAGGCTCAGCGGTGAGAAGGAGGCGAGACCTGCTCCAGGAATGTGCCTCAGCCTGGCCTGTGTAAGAGGCTAAGGGGGGGGGGGGGGGCATCCTGTGCTGCTTCCAGGGCATGAGCAGGCATGATACAAGCCATGTGAACTCCTCCCTGCTCTTCCATACCTGCATCTCTGGGATTTGTGAAGAGATGAGCAGTGTCTTAATAGAACACTAGAGAAGAAACCTGCTCACTGAATAGCACATAGGCTGTCTGCCAGCATCTCTCAGTGCCCACCGCACTCTTAAAGAAATTGGCTGGCTCAAGGCACAGATTTACCCCGCAGCAAGTGGGGACTGTAGGGTTGATGATCATGGTGAGCACAACACTGGATACAATGAGATACCCTCCAGCATTCTGCTGACCTGAATCCTGGGGTAGCACCCGAGATGTCCTTGGAAAACATCAGAGCCACCAGCTCCTCCTGCCAGCCATCACTGTCCTCTCATACCAGCATACAGGCCAGGCCACCCTGAGCACATCCTTCCCCAAACACAGCTGCATTTCAGAGAGCTCCCCCTTCCATTACTAAAAAGAAGTGGTTATATTAATATTTAATTACCTTCAGGAACTATACAGTGAAGATTGGTATTTTTTCCCCTTTAAAATGAACCTTCATTAGGAAAATTTTCCCCTTTAAAATGAACCTTCATTAGGAAATTATGCGTTATCCCTATGTATTATTTTTACTAGAAGATAAAAACACCTGGATTGAATTTTGTTCCCGCTCTTGCACTGTGCAAGAAGTGGGAGGGGAAACTGCAGTTTAAGGGGGAAACATCTCTCTTCTGTGTAGTTTTCAGTCTTGCGGAGCTTGGCAGCTTCTCTGGTTACCCACAGCTGGGCTGCATGAGTTCCTGGTTCCTTGCTGTTACCTCAGCACACAGAGCTCTTCTTGATCTGGTTTCCTAAGGGGAAAAGGGCTGCCTACTTCCTGCCCCGAGCTTTCCAGCTGACTGCCCACTTTCTGGAAGCTTGAGGACACAACCCCACAGCAAGCTTTGTGCAAACAGGCAGCTCTGAGCATCCCTTGGGAAGCCACAAACTCTCTGGGACACCAGAGAAGCCACCTGCAAGTCAGGACAAGAGGAATGAGTCTTCCCACCACACCAAGGGGCTTAAAGCTGGCAGGGGCAGACACTGGTCCCACTGCTGAGGCAGCCCATGAATTCTTGCCTGTTCCCCCACGCTACCGTGGCCCCAGAGGTGCAAACCAGCCAGACGGACTCAAGCAAACACAGGGTTTGGTTCCAGTACAGCTCAAGTGGTTTTCTTTTAATCCCAGAGAAGTAAAATGCAACATTTGAGTTGGTAATAACATCCAGAGACAGAAGTCCAAGCCCCCTACTCAGTAAAGTCATTTGTGTTTAAGGCACTCTGCAAAACCAGCTTTCCTCTTCTTCCGATTTTCCCCACGCGGCAGCAGAATACCTGGTTTGGTCTTTTCTCCATAGTGACATCCACGCGTCCTGGCTCTTCTCACCATCTCCAGGAACTGGCAACAGCAAATCCAGCAGGAGCCATCAGAGAAATGCCAGGAGGCTGGATCAGTGAATACAGATGGGCATGGGAAGGAGCACAGTGCCCAGGGAGGGGGCACAGGGCTTCAAGCTTCTGCAGGAAAGGTACAGGCACTGGGTGTCCTCCCTGCAAGCACCGATATGATTCCCTTCCTTTTTTCCCCCTGGCTCCAAAAGCAAATGGGAGTAGGGGGGCCCTCAATCGTCCCTCCCCAGCGGTGCTCCCAAACATGCAGCAGCACCCCAAAATGCAGGGGGCTGGGTGGGGGGAACCCAGCTGCCCCCACCGTGCAGCAGAAATGAACCCCCCCAACTTTCAGCCGTCAATAAATAATAATAAATAACTTAAACCTCAAGTAAATAAATAAATAAATAAATAAATAGGTAGATAGCTAGATAAATAAATAAGTGACCCAAGGACAGGATAGAGGGGAAGGGGCACCCCGAGGCTCAGGGCAAGTGGAACATGCAAGCGGGCATTTCCATGACATGCTCCTTCCTGAGATAACGGGGTGCTACTGCGAAAGGGGGGTACAGGGAAGGCATCCCATGGTGTGGTTGGGCAACTGAACCCAGGGTTCTGGGTACTCATCCCTGGCATGGGCTCTGCAGCCAGGGCTCCAGCTCCAGGTCCCCATCAGTACAGCTGCAGCCCACAGGGATGTGAGGAAAACCCCAACTCACACACTGGAGCTCTACCCTGTTGCCTCCCTCCCTCCCTCTCCTCCCCTTCACTCAAACATAGAGCCCTGTGCCTGGGTTCCACCGGTGGGTGCTGCTGAGCTCACCCAGCACCTCCAGCCGAAGTGAACACACACCTTTTGTGAACATGCAAACTGCATGTTTCTGCACACTGCTTTTGTAAATATTTTTCTTTTTCCTTTTAAACACGGAAATGCCCATGTAGACAACCCACACATCAAACCGAGTGAAGTGCATCAAACAGAGTTAAGCGCATCAAATCCAGCCATCAGAGGAGCAGGCATGGCAGCCCAGCAGAAGCCCAGAGGGGTGAGCACAGGCATGGCCCCAGGGCTCATCCAGAGCCTGCCTGCAGGCTGCGGCAGTCCTGGGAGCTCAGGCACAAGGCTATGGCCAGGCATGGAGCCTGACACCAGCACCAGGCAGCACCAAGCGCCTCCCTGGGGACACTGTAGACATACATGGACAGAAATGGCAGACACTGCTATCCCAGTGTGGCCAGGCAGCACATCCTAATAAATTCAACAGCACCCCCCACCAGCATCCTCGCTCTCCCAGCCAGCAGGCACCACGGTGCTGCCACAGCATCTCCCCAGTCTGATGGCTGCACACAGCCCTCGAGTTCCCATCTGCTGGGGAACCCCTTCCACTGGCTTTTTAGCTCTGATGCTGCCAGAGACATTTCTGTCCTACTGGGTCAAAAGTACACATCTGCCTTATTTCAAACCAAAAGGTACTTATCCCTCCTCTTTTCTCAAAGACTACAGAAAATCGTATTTAACGTTTTTAACCCTTCTCCAAACATGCTTTTTGAGAAAAAAAAGTCAGTGACAGCAAAAGCTGCTATAAGTCCTGTATCAGAACAAAACCATGGGCAGAGTCTCATAAGAGTGGGACATCTTCCCACACTGGCAAGCTCCCAGTGGAACTTTTGCTCCAGAAAACAAGCAAACCAAGACTCAGTCCCCTCTTCCTCCAAACCTTTCTCACCACAAGGCTACAGCCCCCAGCAAAATCCAGGTGTAGGCACCAAAAGCAGCAGATTCCCAGCCCATAGTGGGGCCAAGCGGGAGGAGTAGGACCACCAGCCTCAGCATGGGAAACTGTGCGTCAAGGCGTCAAAATGCAATACTCCCAGAGGGAAAAATAAGTAAGAATCCCATCAGCAGCAAACACTACTGAGAATAATAAATAGCACAGGGATTTCACACGGATTTTTGGTCTAAGATGCCTGGGGAACTCCTTTGCTGGAAGGGACCAGGGTGCACATCCCGCCCTGGAAAAGCACAAGCCATGGTCAAAGCTCTGCAGAGCGATGCCACAGAGATGTGCCAGCACACCACAGGAAGCAAAGCAATGCTGAAGGCAGTGCTATTAATACCACATGAAAGGCTTTGCATGGAAGTGCCGAACATAGTGACCCTCCCCAGGTTCTCCTGGCAGTGGGGCAGAAGATAGAACCCTCCCAGTGGGAATTATCCACATCCCCAGGGCAGGTCAAACCTCCCATGGCACGAAGGCAGGGACGTGAGCTGGAGGAGCCAATGGGCTCAGGCTGGGGCAGAGGATAGAGCAGAGAAAGCAGCGAAAAGTCATAACTATCTGTCCAGGAGCAATGGAGTGCCTGTGGCACAGGCAGGGCAGCCATGGTTTATGCCTCTGCTGCATCTCAAGGGCAAGGTACTGGGAGTTGCAGGTCGCAGCCCATAGCACCACAACACCCCAGATGATGCCGGTCATCCAGGCAGTGAGGAGCAATGGGAAAGACAAATAAAACCCTGTTACCCTCCAAGCACCTAGAGCAGCAGGAGGCAATGCCCAGGCAGAACGCTCACCTCCTTCCCAGGCAAACCCAGGCCTGCCTTGCATGGCCTCTGCTCACATCCCTGCCTCCAACCCATAGAAAGGAGATCTCCATCCCTGCAGAGCCTGGGGAGTTACTGCAAGGCACGCCATCCTCCCCATCAGCATCCCTGCCAGTAGCCATCCTGCTCTATGGGTGGCTGAGGAGTCTCCACATGAGCCAGCATTTGTATGGAAAATGAGCAAGCACCCAACTTCTTGCAAAGGACTTGGGTCTGCAGTGGAAGAGTGTGAGTCCCAGGTCACCTCCAAGCTGGTCTGGGCACCCCACACAGTCAGTACCTGGGCAGGGTGAATGGGCACTGCTCCCAATTTCTCATTCAGCTGAGAATCGATTTTGCTCCTGTAAGAAACAGGTCACCAGGATTTGGGGGTGGACACGGGGGTTGAGGAACTGCAAAGGATTAGTGCACCTTAAAACAAAAGGACATCTAATCTGCCCTTAGATCTCACTCCAAGACAGAAAAGAGCTATGGCATCTCCTACACTCACAACTACTCCAAACACACCCAGACGCATGCAAAACATGTCCCACTTTCCGTCAGCTATGGAAAACCCATCCTGGGCAGTGGTACTGGCCAGCACCAGGCTCCAGCCCAGCACCCGGCACTGCCAGCTCCCATTCCACTCCCGGAACCCCTGCCCAGCCCCAGTGGGCAGGACCAGGGCTCCATTATTGATCCAAATGCATAGGTATAGACACCGTGGGGACACCCATGATCCAGCAGGAAGGCTCACCACAGGAGCCTGCCACGTCCAGCAAGACATGGTCTCCGCTTCTACCTCCAACTGGGTGGAAAGCAACATTTGCCAGCGGCATGGTTTGATTGCACTCATGCTCCTTGCATTGCCCTGCAAGGAAAGATGACTCATTTAGGTCAGACAGCCTCTTTGCCAGCTGCAAGCCCCTAGAAGTACTTGATTCTGCTTCCCGGGAAATCCTCCAGCTCAGTGATCCCTCTTCAACATGCCCGTGCCAGCCAGGCTCTCTTTCTGACTAAGAAGGAGGCGCATTTCCAACCACAGCTACAAAGGCGGAGAACCCAAGAGGCCTGCTTTGGCTCAGGAACCCCATTCATTTGCAGCAGGCTCCCAGGTCCTCACGTGTGCGCCCTGGCACTGATCTACTTGGGAGGTATCACAACTATAGGCTGGCCTCGCTTGGGTCTCCACATGAGGACTTGGGCATCGTTGGCATTGGGTTTCACTAGTGCATTTGGTGGGATGGGCTCCATCCTGCTGAGGATCCGGGGCTGCTCCTGCTGAGTCCTTCCCACCAGCCGTGCCCGCTGCCCCAGCAGCTGCATAGGATCAACCTCAATGTCCACTCTCATTCTCCACTTTATAGTCTGCAAGATGATCTTTTCCTTGGTGGTGGTGTTCATGGCCACCAGCCATGTGGTAAAGCTCTGGTCCCTTTTAATCCTGGTCAGCAGCGGCACATTACTGTTACTTACAGGGACAGCCCATGTCACGCTGGGGTAGAAATTGTCATTCATGCTCACTGAGAACCTGGAGATCTTGTTAGTGGGCCCGACCAGGGTCACAGTTTCTGTGGTGTTTCCGTACCAGGGGTAGCTCACACCATCTGAATCGCTGATGGCTTTTACTCTTCCTTCTCGCAGGTCAGGCAGTTCCCAGCTTGACCTAGTGAACAGGAAGGGAAAGGCTAGGTTAGCAGGGAAACAACAGCAACAGTGCCCAGCAAGCAACATGGAGACACACAGTATGGGGACTGTCTCCCCACCTGCAGCTAGCTTTCAAGGGCCTCTTTAAGAACAAATTTGGCCTCAGTTCCTTCACCGAGCCTTCAGGGCCAGCTGAAGCCTTTGTTCTGCCAGCACAACACTATTTTAATTAACCTGCAATCAAACCAACTGGGCCAAAACTCATTGCTGAGTCTCTCTGGGGTCACCCTCTCCTTAATCAGCTCCTGGGCTGGAGAACACCATTCTCCATCCATCGGCTGCAGCACTGTGGCCACAGAACTGGCCCCTTCCTGCAATAAAAGTCTGTGATCTTTATGCCTGTAAATACATACTCCTGCACAGAGGCACACACAATAATTAGATATCACAATTACGCCTGCTGCTGGTGCAGTGAAATCCCTGCAGTATGGCTGGGGGGGAAATTCCAGCCCAAATCTTGGCTGACAACCATGTTAGCAACACTGCGGGGCTACAGCAGGGGAGACAATCACCACGTGGCAATTACAAACAGGGAGCTCTGGTGAAACCTCCGGCTGAGTCCAAGCTCCAGCTCCAGACGTATCTTGAGCTGCCTGCAAGTGGCTACCATCCCCCTGACAAATGACAACCTCTGCTATCTCCCGTGTCCCCAGGTGCTCTAGTGCCACACACAAATCAATCTGCCACAACACAAGGACATGGGCAGGCAGCACCTCTAATGCCTGCACACACTGCTCTGCCTGCTGCCCTGGGCAAGCTGCAGAATGGACCCTCCACAGCCATCTCCAGATCCATGTTGCATCACCCTTTCAAACGGCAAAAGACACAATGACAGAGCCAACAGCTTTGTCCTGAGTCACCCGCACGCCCAGCCTTGGGAAAAGTTGGTTTCCAGCAGCCATTTCTGCACAACACTGCACAGCTTCCCCCTTTCAACAAGCCCAGGGGCAACACCCACACACATGACACAGCCCCACGAAAACCAGCCACTCATCAGGGACAATAGCCACCAAACCCTCCAACGAGTGAGCTTCAGGCCACCCAGCTGATGCGGGAACCAGCTGCAGGGCGAGAGGTGCGTGAGGGCCAGGGTGCTGCGAGGTCCGGTCTGATAGGGCAGGGATGGTGCTGGGAGCAGGTGCTGGGGTGAAGGTAACACCCGTGCATACCTGTGGGTGCAGACATGGGGTGAAGGTGCAACAGGCGTGCGCGGGGGTGCTACCCACGCTGGGTACTGGGGGGGGGGGGCATGCCATACCCAACCCGGTGCACACCGTGGGGCTTCTGCATCCCAACTCCCGCCCAGTGTAGCCGGGGCGCCGTGCCCGGTGCCAGATCCCGTCCCCCCAACCCAGCGCGCTGCGGTGGCGCCAGTGGCGGTGCCGGTGCTCACACGCCGAGGTCGCTGTAGGTGTTGTAGAACTCCATGTGGTTGCAGGCCTGGATCCAGCCCACCACCCAGGTGTGCCGCCGGGCGATGGGGGGCATGAGGACGCGGGCCGAGGCGCGGAAGTAGGGCGTGCGGTACCGCAGCACCACCGGCGAGCTCTCCTCGATGGCGGTGGCCGCCGGCTCGATGGTAGCCGACACGTCCGACACCACGATCTGCTCCCGACGCACCCGCGCCTTGCAGGCCACGCTCTGCAGGCACCCCATGGCCGCCGCCGAGCCGTCGTCACCCGCCGCCGCCGAGCCGCGGGGCCGGGGGGGCGGCCCGTCCCCCCGCCGCCGCCGCACGCCCGCAGCCGCCGCGCATCGCCGCCCGCGCACCGGCGCCGGCAGGGCGAAGGCGCCGCCGCCGCAGCTCTTGCAGCCCTCGCCGGCTGCCGTACGCCGGCCGGGGCGGGCACGTGCGAGGCGGGGAGGCGGGGCGAGTCCACGGCCTCCCCGCCCCGGAGCAAGGCGTAGAAGAGCGACCTCCCCTCCGCCAGGGGGCGCCTCAGTCCTTCCCCGGGGTCCTTTGTCTCCATGGCAACAGGGTGCGTCACGGTGGGCGGTGAAAGAGGAAGCGGGACCGCGCCGGTGCCGCCTGGTACTGGGGAGTAGCGTGCGGCGTCCCGGGGCACAGCGGGAGGGGCAGCTGGGCCCCGGCCGTGCGGTAGCGGGAGGCCACGGTGCCGAGCAAGGTGCGGGGCCGGTAGCGGAAGACGGAGAGGTAGGCCCGGGCAGGAGTGACAGGCAAGCTCCTCGCCCGGGCCCCGTTGGCAGAACAGGCCTGGCAGCCGGTGACCGGTCCTCCCCCCTCTCCCAAGCCGCCTCCTCTCGCCATGCCGAGCCCCCGGAGCAGCCGCGAGCGACGCGCCGGCTGCAGCAGCGGCCGCCCCGAGTTCCTGTCCCTCGTGAGCCAGCGCAGCCCCGTCTCCCCCGACAGCCCGTCACGCCGCAAGGAGTCGGGCAGCTCCGCGGCAGCCCCCATGCCCGAGGAGGACTGCATGAAGCTGAACCCTTCCTTCCTGGGCATCGCCCTCAGCTCCCTGCTGGCCATTGACCTTTGGGCATCCAAGCGCCTGGGCGTCTGCGCCGGAGAGGGCTCGACCTGGGGCAGCGCCCGCCCCCTCATGAAGGTCATCGAGATTTCGGGGCACGGCATCCCCTGGCTGCTTGGCACCTTCTACGGGCTCTGCCAAAGCGACAGTTCAGCAGCCAGAGAGGTGCTGCTCAACCTGCTCTTCGGTGAGGCTGGGGACTCACAAAGGGGCACTGGAGGCAGGGGCTGGCTGCAGCCGAGGGGGGAGGATAGGACCTGAAGGAGGGGGCAGAACTGAGCAAGGCTCAGTCGTCCTGTAACCCTGAGGAATCCAGATGATACTGAGTAACTGGTGCAGGCTCATCTGGGGTCCCTGGTGGCATGGATATGGCTCATCAGTCACAGCTGCAACCACACACAGTGAAAGTCCTGACAGGTAAACTGCTCCTGCAGTTGCACAAAGCACTCAGGGAACTGAACTCGCTTTTACTTCCTCAGCTTATCAGCAGAGCACATTCGAGGTGCAGCTACCTAGTACTGAGACACCACCCCATTCCCTGAAAAGCTGCTCTGCCACACAGATGTCTACACCCTTGGACTCCCTGCAGGTAGTGCCTGCATGGATTGTTCTGTATCAGCCAGTGAGGAAACTTGATTTAAAGCATGCGTTTTAATCTTGTGTGGTGTAATATCCTCACCCCCCATTCCCCCTCTGCCAATGTCCTGTCCTACTATGTGTACTTACTCATTTTTGCTCTTTTAGAAACTAGGAGCTCCAGAGCAAACAGACCTTTTCAGATTCCTAGTTCTTACTCTTTAAGCTAAATGATTAGTATCTCACATTTGTAATTTGAATTGAAATTTGCTTGGTAAGAAACATGGTTTTGTGTATCTTTTTCATTTAGCAGCACATGGTTAAATTACAGTCCCAAAGCAGAGCAGAGGGAAGGGACCTGGAAGCCTCCAATTTAACATCTGCTCCAAGGAGGTCTGTTCCAGTACCAGGGTCTTGTCCAGCCCTCAACCCTCCTGCTCAGAGCCACCCACTTTTCTGGGGCGCTTTCCTGGGACTGCAGCACTCATATGGGAAAGGAGCATTCCCTAATGTTCAGCATGTCCAAGAACCATATCTAAAAAAAGCAACTGAACAAGGTTTACATGGAGGGGAGATTGTTAAATTAAATGATTAACCAAAGGGAATGAACTGAAGGGACCAACAGATTTGTTGTCCAGAAACAAGCCTTAGGACAAGCAGAAGTTGGTTTCTCTCACAAGACTTCCTTGGAGGAAGTACCCCTGGCTCTGAGCACTGTGCCAACAACGCTAACAGGGAGGCAGAAAGCACTCTCCCCTACAGGAGAAGCTGCTCTTGCCAAATACTCACTCAACACTCCTCACAGATGCTTTACCTCAGACTTTTACTGTAACAGCCTTTAGCTCTCTGGGGGCAAGCCACCATTTTTTAAAATCATCCTTTATTAAGCTATTGAAAACCAAAGTGTGGTTAACTTTCTGGCATCATTCCCCCAGCAGCAGGGAAGATTTAGACTGCAGGAGCTCTGGCACCACACAAGCTCAGAGCCCCTCACACCGAGTTGTGGCTGAGTGCTTGAAATGGGTTGGTCATTCATGAACATTTATTTGACCCTTACCCACCAGGGTAAGCAAAGCAGTGCTGACTCAGCACAGGCTGTCAGGGAGTTGTGGGTCTATTAACTCCTCTGTTGCCTTCAGGTTAAGGGTTGGTTTGAGCCCCGAGTCTTGTCAAGATCAGATTTTACACACAAAAGCCCTTGGATACAAGCCAGACAAAGACCTACTGTTGGCTGTGGCAGGCAGATGTCTGGCATGCAAGGCTGCATGCAACAAGAGGAAAGATTGAAGATATGCTCATGCTGGAGAAGGCCAAGCATTGGAATGTTTTCCCTGCCTCAGTTTTGTAACAATGGGAAACACTGCCTTCTCTTACCTTGTTTTGGTAGCCAAGTGCTTTCTCCTTAGCTAATGGCTTTGCTTTGATTCTTACTTTGTTTTCCATGGAGAGAAAAAAAAGCAACTTATGAACAAACACAAAACCAAAACCTTGCTCACTCACTGTTACTGTTTCCTAGCATTGCTGCTGGATCTCGTGATGGTGGCAGTGGTGAAAGGGATTGTCAAGCGGCCACGGCCCACCCACAACAAGATGGACATGTTTGTCACCATCTCAGTGGACAAGTACTCCTTCCCATCAGGCCATGCCACCAGAGCTGCCCTGGTCTGCCGCTTCGTTCTGCGCCACCTGGTACTAGCCGTCCCACTGCGAGTCCTCATGGTGCTCTGGGTTCTCATTGTCAGCGTTTCAAGGGTCATGCTGGGCAGGCACAACATGACAGACGTGCTCTTTGGTCTACTGCTGGGCTACATGCTGTACAGTGTGGTGGAGTACTGCTGGTTGTCCCCGCTCAGCGCGCCTGCCCTCTTTGCACTCTGGAGACACTGATGACTGGGTTCCTCCCAAAGGAAAGGACATGCACCTGGTTTTCTAAGCACGCACAAGGAGGGGATATTGGGACTTAAGCTCGTACACTGAACCCCATCTATCCCACCAAGACTTCAACACTAGCAGCACTGCAGGCTCCTGGGCCTGCATTTTGGTGCCGTCTTGCCCTGTTGGGTAGGGTGTGCACAGGTCAAGCAGCTGCACTGACTGTTGTGCCATGAAAAAAAAAAACCACAAACAGTCCCTGCAGAGCCCAGGGAGGGGTCAGCACATTCATGTGGCAGCTCACAACTGGTACAGTGAATCTGCATGCTTTTGCTGGGCACCTGCTGCATTAGCCCATAATGTATGTGGTAGCTGTGGCTTCTCTGAAAATACACTGATCATGTTATGAGTGCGCCCTGCACAGCCCAGTGTATAAAATATGCCTGAAGGGCACTCTCTAGGGTCTCTCCTCAAGTTTATGAAGGACTCTGCCTTCCTAAGCAGTGCATCTCTTCCATTGCTCTAGATTTAAGTACTACACAGAAAACAGATCTTAAAGCACTGAGGACAGAGGCACCTGGCTCCCAGTGTCATGGAGAGAAAAGGTGCAACCAAAGGTTTGGCCCATTCATTTCATCTCCAAAACAGCAGGTAATGGAGGAAGCATCTGTAACAGCACTGCTCCTGAAGACCTTGTGCAGAACTTCATAACTGCTTTTCCCCTCCACAGGGATTTTAGTCTACCAGGGATACAGCACATTCACAGTAGTTCCTGCTTGCCAGTCTGCTACCAGCATACTGCAGCATGAGCCCCTTCCCCATCGCCCAGCAGCCCACACTCACCCAGGCTGCTGGGTAACCCCAGGAGCCGAGTCTTACCTGTACCTCCTGTAGCAAGAGGCTCTGGCTCTACCAACCGCCACCACAGCTCTCCATGCTGGCTGGTGGGCTGGCTCTCCTGCCCTAGCACCATTAGTCCTGGCAGCCTGTATTTCACAGAAAACTGCTTGTCTTTGGCAGAGCACCCTGAGGCACTTCTGTAATAAGCCAGTGATGAGACTATGCCAAGAAAACACAGCATCCACACCAACAAGAACCACAGTCAGGTAAAGAGCGAAGGCTCTGGACTGGACTTAAATAGTGCTCGTGGCATGGGGAGGGAGGGGTTTTGACCCAGGTGAGGCTCATCATGGCCATTTGGGTCCATTAGCACACTCAATGCCTGGAAAGCATGGATTAAGTCATATTAAAACCAGTCAGTGTTTTATGCTTGCTGTTTCTCTGGGTGAAGTGTGCAGGAGCAGCCTGAGGACCGCTGGTACAAGCATCCTATTTCTGGCCATCACCCACCATCAATTATACAGGGGCTGCAATGAAAGCACTTGATACAGCAAGGTTCCCCTAGAGCCCAGCCCTGAGCTAACAGCTGTGGGTTGGCACTCCAACAACCAAAAAAAAAGCAATCACCTGGTTGCACTGCATGCTTGGCAGCAGGCTGGGCCAGTCCAGAGTGTGCACAGCAGCACACAGCCCTCCCACCTCAAGGCAGAGATGAGCTCTCTGGTGGCTGCAGATCACGGGCATGCAGTACACACCAATGTTGTCAGTGTTTGAGGCGATCGGGCTTATTGAGCTGTGCCAAAACATCCTAGCGCTACTCTTTTCCCAAACACAGGGTGCTTTTTGTCCAAGTGTTCTTAGAGCCATTGGGATCTTCCTCTCCAGGCAGAAGGAATACGGCAGCAACTCTGTGCATATGTGGTTTGTTCCTATGTACATGTGCATGCCAGAAGTTGCTCCCAGCTCACTTGAAAGACCCTCCACAAGCTGCTTGGTGGCACCTGCTATCTCCAGTGCACAGCCCCACTTTGTCATGGGCTGCCCAGCCACCCTGTCACCTCTGCTGTTTCTTTCCACCTTCCCCAGCTAGACCTTTGGTCTCCTCTTGTGATAATTACTTGTAACTGCTGGTGACAAGAGACTGGTGCTTTCTGCTCAGTTTGTCCCATAGTACCTCTGCCCACTGTGGAAGCCCTGAGCAGATGTGTCTGTGTGCACTGCCCAACACACACTACATCCTGGCCAGGCATGGGGACAATGGCTTTCCCGCTGACATCAACAAGCTGATCTTGACTGAAATGCCATGGTTTGTCCATGATGCACTCCCAGAGTCACCTGTGCCTCATGGTGCAGTTCAGCCAGGTAATGAGCCCAAGCACAGGTGGAGGCAAAGTCCAAGGCTCTGCCATCTCTTATAGCTGCCAAGGAAGAAGGGCAAATTCAAAGGCAACCTGCACAGAGATTTCATAGCACAGCAGTGGGGTTGAAAGCTGGAAGTCCCCTGTACCTGTCACCTTGGCCATCCCTGCAGAGCCTGAATGAGCCAGAAGCCAGCTGCAAGTGGAGCAGTTAGAGAAGCACTGCCAGTGCTGCCTGCTTGCCATTCCCGTGCTGATCCACTTGCCGATCTGCCAGCCTGGTAAGAAATGCTTCTGATGCTTTTCGACAGACAAGCAGAGTGTGGATTGACAGCTTGGTGCCTCTGCCCAGACAAGAGGTCAGCCTTGTCAACAGCAAGGGACAGAAAGAGCTTTATTACACCTTTATTACAGCTTTATTTACTGCAAACATACTATGACTTTTAGAAGGTTAAAAACCTTTCAGCTGTGGAGCTTGGCCTCTCCACAACCCTGCTCTGGGGCAAAGTTCCCCTGACACAGGAGAGCAAATTTCCCCTGCAGCCCCCAGGGGCTGTCCAGCTGCAAGTGTGCCAGGAGCCAGTGGTGTGTTCCAGAGCCACCTGGTCTGTGCCTCCTGCTGCCAGGGAAAGCCTTTTCCTAAACTGCCCCACCACTCTGGCACCAGCGACACCCCAGAAGCACAGTGCTCCTCACACCCAGGTCCTGCTTGCCCCACCTGTGGCTCCAATGGCTCAGGAGTGAGCTATGGCTCCAGGGACACTGTGCAAACATGCCCAGCCCAGGGGCAAGGGGGACATAGGCAATGTGGTAACTGGTGCCAGTGGAACAGCTGGAACCATGTGTGCTCCCAGGTACCATGGTTGGGATGATTCTCTGTCATGGTTTAAACCCAGACAGCAACTAAGTACTACCCAGCCGATTGTTCACTCCTCACACCCCATGGGATGAGGAGGAGAATAAGAAAAAGGTAAAACCCATGGGTTGAGATAAAAACAGCTTAATAATTGAAATGAAAAAAAAAATGAACGGGAAAAAAGAAATGGGAAGAAAATCCAAGAAAGACAAGCAATGAACAATACAATTGTTCAGTACCTGCTGACTGATACCCAGCCTGACCTGAGCAGCAATTAGTCCCTTCTGGGTGACTCCCCTAAGTTTATATACTGCGCATGACATGCTGAGGTATAGAATACCCTTTGGCTAGTCTGGGTCAGGTGTCCTCTCTCTGCTCCCTCCTGGCTTCCTTTGCATCTCCTCTCCTGCAAAGCATGAGAGACTAGAAGTCCTCAAAGGTAATCAGTACTTAGAAACAACTAAATCATTGGTTTGTTATCAGCATTATTCTCAGACAAAATGCAAACCACAGCACTACACAAGCTACTAAGAAGAAAATTAACTCTATTCCACCTGAGCCCAGGTGAGATATAAGGACACCCTGATAATAGGAGGTAAAAATTCAGACCAGTGTTCTTTCACTGAAGATACACACCACAGGCAAAGGCTGCATTCCACACCCCATGGCAGCACATGCTGCACACATGCACACACATGCAAAAGTGAGGCAAAACAGCCTCACTCAGGGTAGTCACAGTGGCACAGTTCAGTGTCACCCTCATCTCCTGCATGCAGGCCCCACTGCTGGGTAGCTGGGGACATGCAGCAGTGATTGGGTTCCTGGCCACTACAAGCCAGAGCCACACAGCTGCCGGCTATCAGTGCACTCAGCATCCACAAGCTTTTGTTTTCAATGCCATGACCTGCCAAAATCCGCAGCATGGCCGCATCTCAGCCCTGAGCCCAGGAATCCCCATGGCAGCATCAGCATCGTTATGCGCTCACAGGTCCTCATGAGCCCTTTGCGGGAGCAGGCGCAGGCAGGAGGTGTGGCAGGGCAGCAGGGAGTACCTGTAGGTCATATCAGCAAGCACGTTTTATGACAGCCCAGCTGATCTCAGTCAGCCCCCGAAGTGCCATCCCTAACCAAGTGGCACCGTGCACCCCCGCTGTGACCCACCAGGCTCCGCACACCCCCAGGTGTGTTTTGCCCCAGGACAAGACTCCAGCATCCCTGCCACCACCACAGTCCTGCAGGACACGGCCGCCCAGAAAGTAGCCATCAGTGGTGCCGGTGCCTCCGGCCTATGTGCCCTGAAATGCTGCCTGGATGAGGGGCTGGTACCCGCCTGCTTTGAGAGGAGCAGAGACATCGGGGGTCTCTGGCTTTTCGAGGTAAGCCCCGCGCTGTGTCAGCCTGGCCCTTGGTGCCTGCATGGACAGGACATGTTGATAATTACAGAGTTAAAAGTACAGAGCAGCATTTGTTTACTTGGTATTCTCACCATGGGGACCTGCTGCATCTCTGCCTGTCCTGTAACCCCATGTCCCTGCGGTTTCCCTGTGCTGCAATTCCTGGAAAGGTGCCTGACATGGTTGGTTACCTCTCCCCTCTGAACCTGTGGCGAGGAACACTGCCGGAAAAGCCAAGCAGGCGTCTGGCCCAACCGGTTGCTGGCTTCCTCTGCTCTGTGTGGGAGGAGTGACCAAGTGGGAGGCCCCTGTCACCGCTGACGTGCACCATAAAGCCAGGCCAGCGTCAGGCATCCAAGTTTGGGACAACTGAGCACAGATCTTCACTGACTCCCTGCCAGCCGCTTGCATTCCCTGGGCTGCTGAACCCACAGCTGCAGGTCAGTGGAGGGGGTGCTGGTGGGTGCCAGCACGCAGCAGGTGCCGGTACGGAACCTTCAGCATTTACCCTGGGGAAGGTGGAGGGCAAGGTGCAGATTCAGGGGCTGTGTCCACCATGGTGGGAGCCATGGGTCCCCGTGGGAGGGCACGGCACTCCAGCATGCCTCCATTGCTTGGACATGCCATGAGGGGGGAGATTTCAAGGATCCATATCTCCTGATAGCACTTCTTCCAGGTGTCTGGATGTAAGCACTGCAATGGTGAAAACCCCAGCATTGACCCGGTTCCTGCTGCTGGAGCAGAGGGATAGCTGTACTCACAGTCCCAGACAAAACTTTGGGGCCTGCCCCTAAGCTTGTGACCATTTTGGGGCAGAGGACCAAACTGCACAGCTGCAACCTGTGCCTCTAAACCCCCTTCTCCGGCACTGTCTCCAGGCAGAGACCAGAGGTGGAGGGCAGAATGGCAAAGAGGGTGGCCATCATTGGAGGGGGCAGCAGCGGCCTGTGCGCCATCAGAGCCTGCCTGCAGGAGTCACTGGAGCCCATCTGCTTCGAGAGGAGTGGGGACATCGGAGGGCTCTGGAGGTTTGAGGTAAACCCTGCTGGCCACATGTCTTGCTGTGGGTCAGCACTGCAGCAGCTGGGGGATCAGTGGCTGCTTCTGGGGTGGCATGCAGCTGGCTGTGGCAGGGTCCTGATGGCGAGCTGAGGGCAGGGGCTCAACATAAAGAGCCACCACATCAGCCCCAGCCATCCGTCTCCATCATGGTGCCTCACCACACAAGGCCATGCCCTGCTCCTGTAGGAACATCCCGAGGAGGGCCGCGCCAGCATCTACCGCTCTGTCATCATAAACACCTCCAAGGAGATGATGTGCTTCAGCGATTTCCCCATACCTGAGGACTTCCCCAACTACATGCACAACTCCAAGATCATGGAGTACTTCCGCATGTACGCCCAGCACTTCGACCTGCTGCGCCACATCCGATTCAGGGTGAGAGCCGCCAGGGTCTGGGCTGAGCAGTGAAACAGAGCGGGGGCACAGGGTGCCTGACGCCCGCTCCCCCTGCACCCAGACCAGTGTGTGCCGTGTGTCCAAGCGCCCCGACTTCGCCGCCACGGGCCAGTGGGAGGTGGTGACGGAGAGGGAAGGGAAGCAGGAGGCGGCCGTCTTTGATGCTGTGCTGGTGTGCACCGGGCACCACACCGAGGCCCACCTTCCGCTGAGCACCTTCCCAGGTACTGCCCCACACCCGGCTATGAGGAGAGACCCCAGAAAGCTTGGCTGTGGCAGTCCCTATTCTCCCTATTGCTCTTCCTTCTGGCCTCAGCATTTCCCTGCCTTGAGACAGCTCCAGGAGAGCTCTCATGCTCCC